CGAATGACGTTCTTTGAATTTCAACCCAGGCAACCATATGACGTTTCAGTGACGTCTTTTTACGTTGGTTGAATAACCAAGATGACGTCAGGAGTTGACGTCGTATGACGTGATAAATGACGTGAATAAGTCACAGCTCAATGACGTCATATTGCTCATGTTTAGTGACGTCATTCACTCACTAAACTGTGACGTCAGACTGACGTCGAAATGACGTCGAAATGACGTTCACATTTGGTGAAGATACGTGAAAAAAGCTTCCTCAAACATGGTGTGATGAACACCACTGATCTTTGATGACATATGATATTGATTATACATTATTGAGTCTGCTTGGTGGTCCCTGAGGTGTCATATCCATCAATCGTCTATTCAGCAGCGCTATCCTTCAGTACGCATCTCCAACAGAATGAAATCAGTAACGCGTATTTGTATCAAAAATTATGTAGTTTGTGTCGGCGAGATGTAAGCAAACCAAGAATCAAGAATAGTTTGATAACAATGAAAAGGATGTTGGCGAATTCAGTTTCACTTTTTGAAGTAACGTATATTCATGCATTCTTTGTCACCCAACGAAAATCTAAATAGGAGATTATTGGAAAATTTTCTGAATGACTAAACACACCAAATTGGTAAGTCACACCGACGTTATTTCTAGACGTCATATGAACGTCACTGCCACGTCATAAAAGTGACGGTTGCGATAAGAACACTCATATTACCATTTATATGTAAACATATATTGCTTGATAGGTTTTCGGAATATACAGTTTGAAAAAAGTTTCCGCCTACTTTTTGGGTACATATAATTCCAATGAAGCTTGCATGTTGATTTGGTTCAATGAGTTATACTTCTATTAACGTCAGCAGCATGTATACATACATGAAATAACCAAGACGTATGAAAGGCGTTGTCGAGAGGATGTCGTTTTATCACGTCATAGAAAGTACGTCATTGTGACGTCATAAATTAGTGTGTGACGTCTATGACGAAAAATCTTCTGGTTGCCTGGGAATTGACAAAATTCCTACACTTAAATACAATAATTATTGATGCATTCTGGTATTAAACTGAGTATTCTGGAACATCATACCTAGATAATTCCTGAAATACAAGTGACTATCATAAAAAACAATGAAGGCTTTATTGAATTTGACATACAATTGATGCTTCGTAAGATCCGATTGACGCGTTTTGGAATTTAACTGATGTTCTCTGAAATATCAATGACGTTTTCTCGAAATCCAATCAACTACTCCAAAATACAATTGATACTTTCAGGAACTCAATTGACTATTCTGGGAGACAATAATTGATAGTTCCTAAAATACACGTGACTTTCGTGAAATTCTATCTATTCTATTTCAAAATACAATTTATGTTTTCTGAAATTCAATCGAATTTTCTGTGACTGATGTCAAATGTATTCTGGAATACGAATGACGTTTTTTGAAATTCAATTGACAATTCTCAAATACAATTGATGTTCCTGAAATTCAATTGACTTTTTGGACAAAACAACAGATAGTTTTTGAAAAATAAGTGACTATTCTTAAAAACAAATGATGCTTCTTCAAAGTCAATTAACTATCTTGAAATACGATCGATGCTTTCTGAAATTCAATTCACTATTCGAACAAAACAATAGGTATTGAAAAGGAATATTCTCAGATAAATTATGAACATACAAAAATGGATATATATTTATATAAAGCAATACATTGAGAATTCGCATTCTCTATGTGATGAGAATATTTACTCTTTTTCAGTTAATTCAATAGAAAACAACTACTTTCCTGGCTATATGCCACGACGAACATTGAATTATATCTATTGAACACACACGATAAGAGTTTGAAAATAAAATATAAGAATTTCTGAAATTGAGAATTTGCATTCTGAAAAAGAGTAAATATTCTCATCACATAGAGAATGCGAATTCTCAATGTATTGCTTTATATAAATATATATCCATTTTTGTATGTTCATAATTTATCTGAGAATATTCCTTTTCAACACTTTCATACCCAATCAGGGGGTTCAAACTTGAACGATGGAAACTTGTGATTTTTATAGACCTCTAATCGCAGATTCGTGATAGAGTCTCAATTCAGAATTCATTTCCACGCCCTGTATGATGAATGTCAATTTATCATACACCCAAAAGCAAAACAATAGGTACTTTCTGAAAAAATAAAAATGGATGCTTTATTCAATACAATTTATTATCTTGAAATATGATCGATGTATCCTTGCAGGGAGAGAAAACGAATTTATTTTCGAGGGTAACACTTGAAATAATTAGTTCTAGCCCTCTTCGTTCAACCCCCTAGGAGGGGTAGATCTTACCCTTAGAATCCCAAATGAGAAGGGGGGTCAAGAGTCACATCATTTTGCAGTACGTTCAATGGGCTTATATCACAAAAAATTTTTATTTCATGATTCGATAGAACTCATCCTAACTAGCTCACCACCGCAAACCGTTTCTTGCTGTGAGCTCCCTACGTTTTATAAAAAATTATTGAAATCCCCGATTTTTCGGACCTCTGAAAACGAGGCGATGATGTGACGTCAAAACCCTAATACTGAAACAAGACTATTCCAGACAGAGATGAATGATACATGATTTCTGACAGAGTGAATTAGCGCGAAATCACAGTTGAAAGAATTAATATATCGGTTTCCTCAGTCTCCGTCGGGCGTTTGGTATTTTCTTTTAACTATGGCGAGATGAGGTGTCTATCAGGTTTCTACGTCATAAGAGGGATCCGTTTTCGGAAGGTAGTATTATTTATGTCCAAAAATAAAACATTTCAGTTAATTTTTCGATCGAATTATGTCGTCAATAATTATTAATGTATGAAAGGATCACTATAAACATGGATTGAGTTAAAAGTTCTACTAAGGTGTACACGCCCATTCTCTTTCCAACGGTATCCTAGTTAATCATTTTCATTCGAGCAGTTTCCGAAAAATGTCGTGTCACTTAGTAAACTTCCCACCCGATAATATCTTTTTTTCAGTAAATGACATGAAAAATCGAAAATACACGTCAATTACATATCTGAGGAAGACACTTGAAATGCTTAGCCCTCTTAGGTCAACCCCCCAGGAGAGGAGGGGTAGATGGGTCAAGAGGCACATAATTTTGAAGGGCGTTCAAGTCTCTTTTCAACTATATCCTTATTTTTCATTTTTTGATAGCAGTTTTCGAAAAATGCTGTTTTAAACTCACAGAAGCAATTAGAACATGCCTGCACTGATATCACGACTGATATGCATGGTTTTCAGGTTGGTATTATTGTATTGACCCTTCCAGTCCAAGTGGTAGAAACATTTTGAATGCATTTCAGTGTAGGCATGTTCCGATAATTACTTCTGTAAGTTCAGAACGGCATTTTTCGGAAACAGCTCATCAAAAAATCATGAACTAGGGTACTGTTGGAAAGAATTGAACGCCTTTTTAAATAATGTGCATTCATACAAGGTTCTAAGGGTAACATCTACTCCTCCTAGGAGGTTGAACCAAGAGGGTTGAAAGTATGCATTTGAAGTGTCTCCCTTGACATTGATATTGACCTATCTTTTCGATTTTTCATTTTATTTACTGAAAGGAAGATATTAAGGGTGGAAAGTTTTTTAATTGACACGGCATTTTTCGAAAACTGCTCAACAGAAAATGATAAACTAGGATACCGTTGGAAAGAGAATTGAACGCCCTTCAAAATGATATGCCGCTCGACCTCTTTTTTTATTCGAGATTCTTATTGGAACATCTACCCCTCCTAGGGGTTGTACCAGGAGGGCTGAAAATATCCATTTCAAGTGCACCCCTCAAAAATAAAATTGTCCTGACTTCTCGATTTCTCTTATCATTTACTGGGAGGAAGATATTGAGGGTGGGAATTTTTCGAAATGTCACCCTGTACAGTTGATGCTTCCCGAAAACCAATTGACATTTTTTGTAATTCAACAGGAATACAAATAATGTCGTTTGTTTTGGAATTCAGTTGATTATTCTCAAATACCAACAATCGATGTTTTCTTAGGTTCAGTTGACTATTCTGTAAAACAATAGATACTTTCAGAGATACAAATGATATTCTGAAAAATATTCCATTACTCAACTATCTTGAAATGCAATTAATGCTCTCTGAAATACAATTGGAGTATTTTGAAATTCAACTGATATTTTCGAAATACAGATGTTCTTTTCCGAAATTACTTTCTGAAATTCAACTGAAACTTTCTGAAATTCGACTAATATTTTCGGAAATGATGTTTCCTGAAATTCAATCAACCATTCTGACACATAATTGATGCATTTGAAATGCAACCTTTCTTTTCTAAAACACAAAAAGCGTCTCCTGAAATTCTAATGACTATTCTGAAAACCAATAATTGATGCTTCATGAAATTCAATGAGTTTGAAATACAATTGATGCTTACAGAAATCCAATTGAAGCTTCTTGAAATTCAACTGATACTTTTTGAAATACAAAAAAAGTTGTTTTCTGAAATTTGATTAATTATTCTGAAACAGAATTGACGTTTTCCAAAATATAATCTGCATTTTCTGACCCACAAAACTTTTTTTCTTAATTCTAGTGACTATTTTGATTCATAATTAAAGTATCCTGAAATTCATATGATCTCATTGGAATTTAACTGATATTTTTTCAAATAAAATTGACATTTCATGAAATTTAAGATATTATTAAAAGAATTGTAGTATCTTTGGAGATATCGATTCCCAAAAAGAATAAAAAATTTCGTTTCAATCGTATATGAATATCAACTTTGCAATATGTGATTGTACAGGTTAATAGGAAACGTATACAGTACGGTTCATTCACCTGAAAACTATGCACGTATCATCATGAACCTTATTCAAACACTCGCCCATATCTGCAATGTTAAAATCGCCATAAACTTGACCTCCTCAACGAAAACAAAATATCATAACTATATAAAAACTAAAAAAATTCGACGCTGGCTTATTACATTCACTTTTAGTCTATAGTTATAGATTATAGGTGAAACATGAAGTTCGCACTAGTTTTAGTTGGACTTGTGGTGGTAATCCAATATGTAAGTTCAAACTTTATCTATTTTCTGTTAAATTTGAAAGGAAAGTGAAAAAAAGGCAGGATTTCATCTGAATACACAGGGTGTTAGGTACATTAATATGGTGAAGAAGAAGAACTTTTTTGTAATCGTAGTTTCCAATATAAAAAATAAGGTGAAGGATTTCATTTGGACAAAAAAGCGAGGGTAGATTCGTTACAAAAAATAAGTAAAAAAAGTTCCTGTGAACTAATTCTAATATCAACTAGTTTTCGTCAGTCAGGAATAGTTTTCAAAAATGTGGAAAAAAGATATAGGTTTCAAATCAAATACACAGGGCGTTATATAGAGACATGAATTCGATGGACGATCAAAGAGTATACTCCTTGCAAAAAAATGAATGTTTCCTAACTTTTTTCTAAACATTCGTACTTTCCAATGTGTGAATTCAAACATTATGTATCTCATATTGCAAAAAAATAATTAATATAATTCCTGTAAACGAGTTCAAACTTGACATATATTTTGTCAGACTTTGAGAAAAATATGGAAACAATGCTGTAGGTATTTTGATCTGAATGCTCAGGTGTTAGGTACAGGGCTAGTTTTATTATTGTGAACCCCCTTTATCTTTTTTGTTTTCCACTCATTAAAAAATATTCGAAGCTGATTTTGTACAATTTTCAATTACAATATGATACAATATCTCTTCAAATATACAGGGTATAAAGAAAAATATTTTTTTTTCAAATGGAATGTGTCGTATATTTTGATGGATTTGAAAGAAGGGATATATCTATCAAAATATACAGCGCATTACATATAAAAAAAAATATTTCTGTATACCCTGAAGAGATATTTCAACACTGTCACTGTGTTTGGAACCTGCATGCAGAATAATTATATAAAATCAGCTTCGAATTTTTTTGGATGAGTGGGAAACAAAAAAAAAAACTCTTTTTTACATTGATAAAACTGGCCCTGTACATTAATTTGGTAAAAAAAATCAAGGGTGAATTCTTAGAGAAAAATAAGGAAGTCTTTCAAATACTTGTATTTCAGTCAGAATTATTCCATAATAATGTAGGGTTCCATTTGAATACACAGGGTGTATAGATACATTGATACCAGAAAAAATGCAGGGTAGATTCATTGTAAAAATCAGGAAAAGTTCCAACAAACAAAATCAAAACATTATCTTTATTTTTCGTCAGTCAGACTTTTTTCAATGCACGTGGAAAAAATTTGTAGGCTCTCATCTGATCATACAAGATATTAGGTACAGTAATATAGTTAAAAAAATCGATTCCTTGCGAAAAATATAGATATAATCCTTTTAACTTTTTCAGAGACTCGTATTTTTCAGTGTGTAAGTTGATATATATTACATATTAGATCATATACATTATTCAATACATTATCTATTTTTGTTAATAAGAATGAGGTGTAGGGTTTCGTCTGAATACACAGGGTGTTCCATCAATATGGTAGAAATTTCAAGGTTTGATTCCATGAATTGAATAGGAAAAACGTTACTATACACATTTTTCCAAAGACCTTCCGATATGTTATTTCAATTCATATCTAAGTATTATTCGTCAGTCAGATTTGAAAGAAATTGAGAAAGAAGTGTAGGGTTTCATCTGAATATACAGGATGTTAGGTACATTGATCTGGTAGATAAATGCGATGGTAAATTCAGACTGATTTCAAAATATGTGAAAAAAGGTGTAGGGTTTCATCTGAATACACAGGGTGTTGGTTATATTGATTTGGTGAAGTAATTCAATGGTAGATCTCCTTCAGAAAAACAGGGACAGTTCCTTCAAACTTTTTTCTTTATACTCGTATTTTCCAGTAAATATTTTTTCTTGGAAAAGTATAAAAAAAATAAGTGTTCTTCCTAAAGACCCGCAATTTTTGTTACTGATATACATTTGTTCAACGCATATTGAAGAACAAAACCTAGTATTTTCCAAAAATTAAATACATGAGAGTATGGTTCGGCTTTGAAAGAGACAGTCAAGCTAATAAGAAATATTTTTAAAAATGTTATGTCTATTTTTTCTTACTTCGAAGACATGCAGAGAAATACTAGTTAATTTATTCATGAACCAACAAGCAGCATAATATGAATACATTCAAGAGACATGAAAGCTGGGTTTGAAAAGCTAGATTGGAAAAAAGTTACTAACATAACTATAATGATGTTAGTCAAGCCCCCTCGGACGCCACATCAGAAGAGGTTGTTATTGCAAACAAATTATGAAATTTCATGAAAATCCGAATGATATCTCCTTAGAAATCGATGATGATTTGATTTCATGAAAAATTTTTACCCTGTATCTTAAAAATTTTAGAGGTTTTCGGGGAAAAAGATTGAAGAATCTTTATTTTCCGATTTTTCCGCACAGAATCTTCGCTTGAATTTTTCACAATATCAATGTACCACGGTTCAATATCCATTTTTCTTCCAGAATTGAACCTCCTTGACTCTCTTGTTTTGCAAGATACCGAAAAATGTTGCATGTATGAAAGTTGGATAGAATAACTTGAATTCGGATTTAAAGATATTTTTTGGTATGCAGGACTTTTCATTTTCCAGAAACTTACATCAACATTTGTTTCTCTAATGAATACTATGTATCTTTCTTGACAGCCTGGAAGAGCGATATTTGTATCGATTATTAATTGAGTTAGATACACGGTTGAACAAAATAATCATGTCACATAATGTGAGTTGAACTTGGTGGGATTTGAGATAACACAATTATATATTGACATCTCCATGGAGCATACATAATATAATTGATATTTTTTCGGAGACTACTGAGTTCAAAACGTATATTATTTGATATGAGTATTATGGTCAACTTTAATCGTCAATAACTCAATTATTTTCAAGCCAAATACATGCAAGTCATAAAATATGTATACATAGCGCTTCTTCGATAATATAGTGTTGATATTTCAGTTTTAGTAGTGGACAAAATATTTCAACTGTGCAGTAAAGTATAGGAAAAATTATGAGAATCTGAAAAACGTTGATTACAAATTTCAATCTTTCATATTCAAAAACAAAATTTCATTACACAAGGTGCTAAACAGAGAGGTTATGACGTCATCGGCAATTTTTTTGATCTGAAATTCTGTATCTTGTGACTCCAAATATCATTACTGCTTGGAATAATTTTATTTTTCTTGATCTAGAACTGTCACAAAATGTAGGGTGTTACATTTGAAAAAAAATTACAATGTATCGTCCAGAGATTCATCAAGTCAAGTAGCTTGATATTTTAACAAACTACTTGACTTGACTTGAAAATCAAGCTCGTGGCAAATTACGTACTTGACTTGACTTGAATTTGAGATATTTATTACTTGACTTGAAATCAAGCTACTTGATAATACTTGATCTTGATACGCACGAGTCGCACGGCGTATATTTCTGCAAGCTCGCTCACGCTTAGACAAAATACGGGGGTTCCCCGAGATCCGAGCTGACTGAATCGATCGCGCAGTCAGTCTTACGATGCCATTTTCATTTCATCAGTTATATACAGGGTGACTCACGGTCGATGGTAGGTTATAGACGTTCACGTTTATGATAGGAACGCAACGCAGGATTTTTCTGAAAATTTCGCATCTCACATTTCATCACCGGTACTATCGATCTAATATATTTTCAAAATCACGACGTTGCCGCTTCTATAGAAAAGTAGGAACCACTTTGTTATTTCGAATTGAACACCCTGTATTTTATTGCATTTTCAGATTCTCCTGGAAGAGTTGATTTCATCGATACATCACACTCGGGGTATAGCGGAAAAGATTATGGAGATATAGAGTGCGAAAAATCGAGATTTTTCAACTTCAGGAATTTTTTGTGTATGCGAAATTTTCAGAAAAATCCCGCGTCGCGTTCTCCATAAACGTCTAACCTATAACATCGACCGTGAGTCACGCTGTATAGATACACAATAAAACTGCTGAAAATCAAGTAACTTGATAGAACTACTTGATTTTTCAAGTACTTGATAAATAATTACTTGACTTGACTTGACATTAAAAAACTTTCGCTTGACTTGAACTTGACTTGATTTCAAGTCAAGTCAAGTCAAGTAGCTTGAATATCAAGTCAAGCCGTGAATCTCTGGATCGTCATCACCTCAATGTGTATCACACTGTAAAATGAAATTTCATGATCAAATATAAAGAAGATATAATTTATTCCATACTTCAGGAACACACTCCTCATCAGTTGAGAATGCTTATATACAGGGTGTCCAAAATTATATAAAAATATTTCAACTGCAGAGTTTAGGAATAATAATAGTGGAGACTCAGCTCAGCTGAAAACTATGAATACATTTAATTCCTACAAAAGAGCAGTCAAAAATATGATATGTCAAGATAAAAGTATGTATGACTCAGTCTTCAATTAATAATTAACAATCTATAGTTATGTTAAAAGTTTTTCTACCTCCAGTTTCAGTATGTTTCTTTCTCACTCACCTTCCCAAAGTTCAATCAGAAGAAAATCAATCAGCACAGAATGATATACAAACCAAGAAGAACATTGTTTAAAGTCAGGAAATATCAGATACTCACAATACAAGCCCATTGGGGCTTAGGTGATGATGATATGTCCTGGTCTTTTATTTTCATTGTATTTTGGTTGTACCAAACAATATGAAATAAGTTCAGAAACTCCTGTATGATGAAGATATGACTTACTTACTTACTTACTTACTTACTTACTTACTTACTTACTTACTTACTTACTTACTTACTTACTAGAGTAGGTTCAGAAATGGTTCTTTAGGGTGTTTTAGCCACTAAAGGGCGAGCATGAGGTGATAATTTTCTGAAAATATTTTCGAAACTCTTTGTGATGAAATAACCAAAAAGACCCCGCTTTTTTCGAATTTTTAATATGTTGTAGAAATTGATAAACTGATTAAATGTGCAAATTCGTAGAATTCATTGATGAACAGATTTTTTAAAACAAGGCGTCAAAGTTACAAATCGGTGATTTTTTTTTATTTTTTCTCTAGATTTGCAGGTGCCAACGGCATTATTTTTCGCTCATATCATTAAAGTACCTTCATATTACTCAATTTTATCCAGATGATTCAGATTATGTAATTGTATACAGAGTGAGAAATTAAAACATTTTAGTGATGTCTGAAAATTCGATGTAATGATGAAATATCGAGAAAATTATTACTTCAGCAATATAAATATTCTCATTCAATTATGAATCACAATTCATCGTCTTCATGATGTTATAGCCACTTCTACGTGAGTACAGGGTGCGCCTCTTAAAATGTAATCCCCTCTTAACTCTTTCGTGTTCAGAGATATGAAAAAATGTTGAATGACAAAGTTGTGTCAAACGACCCAAACTTTCATTTCGTTATGTTGTTTCATAAACAGGGTCATTCGTTCTTACAGAAAGTATATCAACTTTGATTTTTTCAATGGAACACCCTATATAATTTACGTCACATCGATAGAGCTTTTTGTTCTGATTTGAAAAATAAATATGAGTTGCATATTCGAATGAAAAATAGTTGAGTAATTGATGATAAAATTTTACCAAAATACCGCATTATGAACCTTTACTTCATGAGTTGAATATATAGTGGGCTTTGAAATAACGTTCATACATTGTTCAGGCTCCACGGAGACGTCATAGTATTGTTTATTATGAAATTGAAATCCTCCAATCTCAATACAAAGAAATATGAATACAGTTCGAATTGAAGATTCGGTATTTTGGTAAACTTTGATAATCAATAAATCAATTATTTCTAATCCAAATATGCAACTCATATGTATTTTTGAAATCACTAAAGAAGGCTCTATCGACATGCCAGAATATCACATCTCTAAAAAAAAAGAATTAAGGGGGGTTTCATCTTAAAAGGAGCACCCTGTACAACCTCCTCATATCACACTTGTTCGCAATTTAGTTTTCAAGAATGATCAGTTGAGAATGTTTGTTTCTTCAATATCTTTTATAATTTTTTCGACTGAATTCTCAATCAAATTCACACTCAACCTTAGTTAAAATAATTTCATTTCATTGGTTTTCGGTATTTTATTTATTATTTAGTTGTTCAGAAAGAACAATTTGTCCTTTAGATCAACTTTATTAGTACTATGACTGGTGATGACCATTTGAATGGTCGAAACATGTCTCAATCAAAAGTAATGAAGCTGAATCAACTGCACATTTCGCCAGCGAAGTTGTGGAGACAACTTTGAGTTGTTTCCCGTTAATTTAATAAAAATCATAATTGGTACCCTATAGCAAGCAAATTTTAAAAAACGAATAATGTTGTAATTAGTGAATGCTATCAAATAAGATAACTGTCATGGGTACAATCAATTTTCATTTTATATACCTGATCAAACTGCCAAAAATTCCACATACAAAAAATTGGGCAAAAAGAGCCACTAGGTAGTTCCTCGTATTTCTCGCGCCCCTAATGAAAATATCGAAATATTTTCAACATTTCAGAAATGTATATGGAGAGTTGGATATTTTTATAGAATTTGGTTATTATTTAGTGAGTTGACTTTAATAGAATCTTTCTTGCTAATTTCGAGACACCCTGTATATTTGTAAAATGAAGAAAAATATCTTCAACTAGATTTGAAAATATGCACAATGTTTCATTCAAAAAAGTGGATCTGTTCGTTCAAGGAGTATACCAAAAGAAAACCTACATAAAAATCACATTTGAAGTTAAATACTGTAGAAACGAGAAAATCCCAAAAAATTTGGAATAATGGACATTTGAAGTTAATTTTTACTTTGTATAGTACCCCTAATAGCACCCTGAAGTCACATGTATATCCACAGGACTTCCCGCCAGGCTTTGTTAGTAAATCAGTGTTGATATTGTTCTTGTCCTTCATGAAAAAATCAAAGGAAATTTATTTTTTATATGGAAAATCCATCTAATCCCGTTAAAATTCAATGTTTTAGTGATTCTCGAGCATTTTTGAAATAATTATTTCTATACATTGTACATAATTTTGAAGGGAAAAAAATAAGAAATTTAATGAGCTGATAAAATACTCCATTTGAAAAATCATAACTTTGGGTTGTATCTCCAAAATTATACCCCGAAAAAAAAATTGAGTGCGCCACTGGATTTTGCGTGGAATTCTCTATGGGTAAAGATTTCAATTTGACATTTTCGCTGAGAAACTTCGTAGATATAGAGGGGGTCCAAACAGTATGAATTTTCAAAATCGCCCTGAATCTCAAAAACGAAAACAGTAATGCAAAATCTGATTAGGTCATCTTGAATTTCACAAAAAAGTGGCGCAGGACCGCGAAAACCGCAAGGTTTTATCTCCAAAGATATCTGAGATATCACGCAAAAGAATCGAAAACCGGACACACTGTAGATAAATGAGTTTACTAATAGTTATTCATTATACAAGGGAGAAAAAGTAGTAGATTTTAGCTCCAGGTTGTGAGCTAATATCTAATATTTTCCCCGTGTATAATACACTATTATTTTCTGAAGAAGAAAGGACGAATCAATATTGAGAAGATATTACATTATTTTGAAATCTGAAAATTATCGATGTGAAATTTTAAGTTTTTAACAGTAGGGACACCTGCGTTGTAGGCATCTTTATCATCCCTTTGAAGTAATAAAATATCTGATGTCACTTCTGTCAGTCTAATTCTGTGATTTGATTAAAAAAAATTTCGAATTTACTGGTTGTTCAGTAATATACGTAACCGCGAAGTCGAATGGAAGATAAAAGGACTTGCAGTTCTTTCTCGGAGGCGGTATTATTGACTCATTTTTCGGAAATATAGCACAACAAAAGCCATCAACAGTGTGATATACAGGGTGTTTCATAATTGAATGCTGATCCTTAAGGGCGATAATCCTTGGATGATTTTGAAAAGAAAAGTTCATATCAACATAATTATGTCCTAAACCTCTTAGTTATTGAGCTACAGGGTGATGAAATTTCAAGGAAAAAATGAGTTTTTCATCATAATTTTTTATCACTCTTAGATATTGTTATGATATTTTGTATACACCTTTTCATTATTAAGGAGCATTTTTTGACGTGAAAGATATTTAAAAATTCTCACCAGTGGCGTACGTACGGGGTTTGAACTGACAATTTTTGAAGAAAAAAATAGTACGTTACTGATATTTCTGAAAATCAGATTCTTTTTTCAATTCTTATTCATTTTGGAGCAAATTTGGTTCCTAGACTTACTTTCATACAACGTACCGTTTTCGCCTAGAAAATAAAAACCAAAGAATTTTGTTCCTTCAGTTCTTGGATATTGTTTTTGGTAATTCAGTAGACACCCACTATAAGTGGAAACACATTCTGTTTTGGAACGAAAATCAAACTTTTACTTTCACCAGTGATGTCCTCGTAGACCTGATATTGAATGTTTTGTTTAAAAAAACGCTGTACGCTTCTGATTTCAACACCCTGTAGCTCAAAAACTAAGAGGTTCAGGACATATGTTGATATGAACTTCTCTCCTTAAAATCATCCAAGGATCATCGCCCTTTAGGATCAGCATTCAATTATGAAACACCCTGTATATCCGGGAAAAAAGAACTCACTTTTTTCCCACTCGAAAGAAGTGATTTATAAAAAGTGACATTTTATAACCTGCCAACAGAGATGAAATGCCAAACTTTTTTTCCCGTCACAGAAAAAACATATTTCCTTTTTTCCAGGTGACCGCCGGTTGCCACACGTGCGGCCACTCCCCCTGCGGCTGCGGCTGCGGCCTGGAGGGCAGCGGCGAGGACATGTGCCGCGGCACGAAACGCTGCGTGCCGATGGTAGTGCGCCCGCAGGCGTTAGAGACTCCCAAGTTCGCCGCCCCTGCCTTCGAGCCCGTGTCCAGCCCTTGCGCCTGCAAGAAGGCTATCGTGAAGCCCGCGGTGCTGCCCAAGCCCGTGTGCCGCCCGCAGATCCCGACATGCGTCGTTGACAGCTGTCATCACAGCCACCACGTGAGTTTCTTTCTTTGTCTCATATTTTTCACATTTCTTAAATTTTTCTAACTCTTGCACGACAGAGGCTATATTCCGAATTCAACTGGTCAGTACTGTCAGTAGATCCACTGACTCTGCTGAAAAGCTGTGTTCCGAAATATAAAATCAAAAATACAGTGCTGTAATTCGGAACACGTTTTCATCAGTAATCAGCAGCAGTTGATCAGCTGGTGAAATTTGTCAGTTGTCATTGATCTGGCAGATGCTCCTGCTTTAGCTAAATAAATAACAGGCATTTTCTGATATCAAAATGATATTATCAATGTATTATTGATAAGCTAAGACTCAATGTTTGAAAAACAACGGAAATGAATGTGTCATTCCTTTCCCCTCAAAAATAATGACAGTTCACTGAAGCCACACTACCTTTTGATAGTCAGCAATTTCAGCAGAATGTTGAGTCGAAATATTTGGAATGAATAGTATATCTGCTCACGAGTATCTGTCACTTTCAGTCAATTTTTTGATTTCGGAATGAAAATTCAGCAGATTCAGTACTATCAGTTGAATTCGGAATATAGCCAGGGTATCGCTATGATATTCTTAGAACTCATTTATCAACAGTGCTTAGCGCCAAAGACAGATAATGGAATGGAATCGCGAATGGTGGGGATAATAAAAACACTTGCTAGTGAGTGTTCAGACCAAAAACTAATAGATAGACACCGCGATTCGATCATACATCATTGAAAGATGTACGCCAACAATGCTTAACGACAAACACAGATGAATGAATCAAATCGCTAATGGTGAGGATAATATCAGACACTTGTACATTTGCGGATGAGTGTTCAGACTAAATAACAATAGATAGACGCGATTCGTTTATAGATCATAAAAATAATCCTAAAGTTACGTCTGTAACTTAAATAAAATCGTTCGAATTTCCGGAGCGGCTAGTTGTGTCGGTAACATATGAATATGCGCCCCGTGTGTTGCCTGCAGATCCCGACGTGCGTCGTCGACAGCTGACATCACAGCTACCCCGTGAGTTTCTTTCTTTCTCTCATTTTTTTCACATTTCTTCAATTTTTCCTACTCTTGCACGACAGGGTATCTGTTTGAACTGTCAACAGGCAATCTTTCGATTTACGATCATTTCTCAGACTAGATAACATTGAGTAGATAGACACCACGACTCATTCATCAACAATCCTTAGCGCCAAAGACAGATAATGGAATGGAATCGCGAATGGTGGGGATAATAAGAGACACTTGCGGGTGAGTGTTCAGACTCATAGATCATTGGAAGAAATACGCCAACAATGCTCAACAACAAACACGGATAAATGAATCAAATCGCTAATGGTGGAAATAATATCAGACACTTGTACATTTGCGGATGAGTGTTCAGACTAAATAACAATAGATAGACACCGCGATTCGTTTATAGATAATTGAAAAGTATACGCCAACTATCCTTAGCGCCAATGACAGATAATGGACTCTCGAATGGTGGGGATAATAAAAAACACTTGCGGGTGAAAGTTCAGACTGAAAACCAATAAATAGACACCGCAATTCGATCAAAGATCATTGAAAGATATACGCCAACAATCCTTAACGACATACACGGAGAAATGAATCAAATTGCTAATGGTGGGGATAATATCAGACACTTCTACATTTGCGAATAAGTGTTCAGACTAAATAACAATAGATAGACACTGCGATTCCTTTATAGATCATCAAAAACTATACGCCAACAATCCTTAATCACCAACGGATTAACGCAGATCCCGACGTGCGTCGTCGACAGCTGTCATCACAGCCACCACGTGAGTCTCTTTCTTTCTCTCATTTGTTTCACATTCTTTCGATTTCCTCAACTTTTGCACGACAGGAAATCGCTATGATATTCTTAGTACTGAACCAAATTTCTCCCTCAGACTAAATAACATTAAGTAGATAGACACCACGATTCATTCATCAACAATCCTTAGCGCCAAAGACAGATGATGGAATGAAATCGCGAATGATGGGGATAATAAAAAACACTTGCGGGTGAGTGTTCAGACCAAAAACCAATAGATAGACACCGCGATTCGATTATTGAACATTGAAAGATATACGCCAACCATCCTTAATGACAAACACGGATAAATGAACCAAATCGCTAATGGTGGGTATAATATCAGAAACTTGTACAGGGTGGGCAAAATTGGGCGTTTTCACCGTCTATCTCAATAACTAGAGGAGTTATCGAAAAACCGATATACATGTTCCGGGTTCGATTTTGGAGAAACCTCGAATGGCACAATCGAAATTTAGATATCTTCATTCGTTTTAGAGATACAGGGGGAAATTGAAAATTTGCCGATTTCGATTTAATTTTCTGACTACTTTACGGTGAGAGGTATAAAAAAATTCCAATCGTATATTTATACAGTATGATGCGTGGAATCCATTGGCATCATCAGAAATTTTATACAGGGTGACGTTGAAAAGATACGGCAGCCAATTATGTTTTTTCTAATGGAACACCCCGTATATTTTGGCACAGTTGAATAGTCCCAGGCGTTCTCATTACAAATATATATATAACCCTACCTTTTCCTTCCACAATTTCAGATATATTCGCAAAAATATATTCAGTGTGTCACATTTCTTATGGTTACACCCCCGTATCTTCTGTATCTGGAATTTGGACATCTTCTATAAGGCTATATTTTTCAACGCAACCTACTGATTTCCTAATTGAGTAAATTATTGGTCTTATTTCTGTATCTCAAATGTCTTGATAACAATGATATCAAATCGAATAATTTCCCATTTTATTTCTCACCAAATATCCATTTGTCTGGAAAAAACATTCCTTATGATATTTATTTTCCACCTTCGGTGAATATATACAGAGTGTCATTTTCAACTTCGATTCTGCCTGTTGATAGCATTATCCAGAAATATCGATGATTCCATAGCTGCTGGCGAGCAGTGTTATCATTGGAGATGATCCCACTTGGTCCATGACTCCATGAGTGTATCATTTGTATCTTTCTGACAGTTGCGAATTTTTGAATCCTACCTCAATTATTTTTACAGAAGATACGGGGGTGTAACCATAAGAAATGTGACACACTGAATATATTTTTGCGAATATATCTGAAATTGGGGAAGGAGAAGGTAGGGTTATATATATATATATATATATTTGTAATGAGAACGCCTGGGACTATTCAACTGTGCCAAAATATACGGGGTGTTCCATTAGAAAAAACATAATTGGCTGCCGTATCTTTTCAACGTCACCCTGTATAAAATTTCTGATGATGCCAATGGATTCCACGCATCATACTGTATAAATATACGTTTGAAATTTTTTGATACCTCTCACCGTAAAGTAGTCAGAAAATAAAATCGAAATCGGCAAATTTTCAATTTCTCCCTGTATCTCTAAAACGAATGAAGATATCGAAATTTTGATTGTGCCATTCGAGGTTTCTCCAAAATCGAACCCGGAACATGTATATCGGTTTTTCGATAACTCCTCTAGTTATTGAGATAGACGGCGAAAACGCCCAATTTTGCCCACCCTGTACATTTGCGGATGACTGTTCAGACTAGAAAACAATAAATAGACACCGCAATTCGTTCATAGATCATTGAAAAGTATTCGCCAACAATCCTCAACTACAAATGAATCAAATTGCGAATGGTGGGGATAATAACAGAAACTTTTGAGCCCCGTGCCCCGTGTGTTGCCCGCAGATCCCGACGTGCGTCGTTGACAGCTGTCATCATAGCTACCTCGTGAGTTTCTTTCTCTCATTTTTCTCGCATTTCTTTCACATTTCTTAAATTTTTTCATCTCTTGCACGACAGGGAATCTCTATGATATTCTTCGAACTAAACAAACTGTCAACATGCAATTATTCGATTGTCGCTCATTTCTCCCTCAGACTGAATGACATTGAGTAGATAGACACCACGATTCATTCATAAATCATACGAAAGTATACACCAACAATCCTCAACGCCAAAGACAGGTAATGCAATGAAATCGCGAATTGTGGGGATAATAAAAAGCTCGTTTGTCATCCAACGACCCATCAAATGACGTAATTCTGGAATGATTAATATGACACGCCAATTTGGCGATCCACAATTACAAAGTGGACGTCCCGAAAACGCCCGCAGGACGTCAATCTGGGATATTCATAACGTCCCAAAGCTGATGGCCATTGTCGGTCGATAGACGTCCCGAAGACGTTCTTGGGTACGCTCATCATAAGTCCATATCAAGGATTTCATGTACAAACATCATTTAAATAGCGAATCACAATCAGCCCCAAAAGTAAATTACTTCACAGTATTTTTCCAACTAATCATTTGTAAAATACTGTCTGTAATAAAGGAAAATAGAGGAAAAAAAGTTGGTGGAGTACGGAATTCGAAACCGGGTCCTTTAGGCAGACACGCTACCCACAGGCCATTGTGTTTGTCACGAACTAATGTACAAAACATCTGTATCAGCATCACACTTTATAACATATATACACGCACTGAACTACAAGAATTCATCCCAGTGGAAGACCGTCGTGTGAGCGAATATAAAAATATTCTGCTTCCATATGCAACGCATCTACATATAAATCATTCGAAATCACAAAATCGGATTCAACCTCGATTGACATTCACAGAATACGTGGCATAATCAATTATACTGATGCAATATAATTGCAGTTGATATAAATATCGATTGGGACCTAATTTGTACGTCCTGAAAATGTTCCTCATAATACATTACGAAAATGTTGGCGTCGTACGTCCTAAGGATGAGACGTTCGGCTATAGTTAGGACATGAAATGAACGTCCTCGGGACGTCCTGTGCTATCTGGGCCATTGCAAAACGCAACAGTTGCAAATGAGAATACGACTTAAAATCATCGTATTTCAATAATCATCGATAAACTTGTTATCAAAGTGGTAATCACGACCAAAAAACTTCATAAACCTCCTCGAACTTATTAAAACTTCCTGTGATTTCCCGAATTCCCTCGGACTTTCCCCTAACTTTCTTCCCAAACTTCATTGAAATTCACCGAATTCCCTCGAGCTTTTCAAAACTTTGAAATGTCCAAATTACTTACCTCAAATTTCTCCGAACATCCTGAAATTTCCCCGAGCTTTCCCGAACTTCCTCAAATTTTCCGAACTTGCCCAAACTTTCTCGAATTTTCCAAAGATGCTCGAAATTTCTCGAACATCCTTTAACTTCTTCAAACTTTCTAGTTCTCGAACCTCCTCAAATTTATCCTCGAACCTGAACACCAAACTTCCCAAATAAGGACATGAATATGTTTCTCGCTTAGATAAAGGCTTCTCCTCTACATGTTCAGGGAATAGTTCACACATATAAGGTACTTGAGGCAAATATGGCCCACCTAAGCTAAAACATTTTTTTAGTTCTCATCTGAATTTTTTAGGTGAACAAATTTTACATCAGATTGAATGTTAGGTATCCTGCTCTCATACGTATATGACATAATTACTCAAATAGAAATTTGTGGATATTATGAATTGAATTGCAGAACCCTGTAATTGGGCCATATTATACTATAATCGGGTTATACGGCCCATATACTAAACTGCCTTCAAAATTAAGAATAATAAGTTTCAAACTTTTATTATAGGAAAAAAGTGGAGGGTAAGTAGTATTCAAAAAAACAATAAATACAAAAATATTGAGATAAATAAAAAACATTGGAAAAATGCAATAAAATTTATAAAAAAGTATTGTAATTTCTATAGTTAGCAGTATTTGGAAACATACAAAAGTAAGTAAATTAACGGCGGTAACTCAAATAAAAAAAAACACTTCGAAATTTATAAAAAAATTCTTGGGGTTTACAGTCAACAACACTCGAAATCATCATAGTCTTCAGGCTCTATCCCAACACATACTTCGTGGTACCAAGTGTTACATTTTACACATCTTCTTCTATCCAATTTGTCTTCTTTGTGACAACCACAAAACCAAGACTCTTCAATTATTCGTTCAGAAGTAGACCGATCTTTTGAAGTAGACTCAATGCTTGAGACAGACTTGGCTATTTTGTTTTTCTGCTTTAATATTGATGGAGTCAAGGGCTTTGAAAAAGATGACAAATCATTATTTTTAAAGATCTTTTGTAACCTGTTGGGCCTTGTAATTCGAAGATTTTCGACGAACGGTTGTCTCTTTCTTTTCAGCTTCAGCAGTCGGAAGGATGTCATTTAACGTCTCAATTGATTTATGTGGAGACAAATTTTACCCATTAGGAAGCTGAAACATTGATTAGAAGTTATAAAATCTATTTTTTCCCAATGAACTTGTTGGTGATGGATGATATGGCCCGCTGTCGGGTATTATGGCCCATGGGCCATGCAACCCACCGTTGTATTGGGCCATATTAAACGAAATGTATTTCTGAGAAAAGGTTATGTTTGATAAAGAGAGCCGAATTCTAGAACCCATTCAACATGATATGTAAAAATAGCTAACAATATACTAATTTACCTTGAAAATATCCCAGCTTGCTGCTATATATGAGATGGAAGGTACGTGGACTTAAATCTAACCCAAATATTGCATCACCGTGAACACCATGCAACGGCTTGTTCTCAACTGGCGAGAAATTGCAGAAAATTTGTAGAAGCGGCGTGCGAGATGAACCGTTGGGAGCGTCAGGCATGCGTAAAGAGCCGACATTGCCAGATTGCTCATAAGTACCCAAGTTTCCGAAATGTCAATATTGGGTCATATTACCCACTGGGTCATATTTGCCTCCTGTACCTTATGTCTTCCTTTGTCTCTCATTCTTGAATGAGAGTACATGGCGTATCCTCGAATGGAAATCAGGGTACGATTCGGACTTCTCGGTGAATGTTCAATAGTCAAGAATTGTAGAAGAAGTTACACAATTTTGTGTTTCAGACGTGATTGCCATTTCATCCAAAAAGAGTGATCCCACAAAACACAGAGTTACCCAAATGCATTTGCGAACAAGTAGCGTACTTTATTTTTTTTAATTTGATAAAAATATTCACAGAATTGCCAATTTGATTTTTGTTCAGTTTCTAATTCCGCCAATTTATTGCCCTGTAGTGCCTAGTTGAATCGTTGTCAAGTTATGCAGTTGATCATAACCATAAATAGATAACCTCTCAACCAATCGTGGACATGGAATTTTCGTATTTTCCCTGCAATGAATAATTACGGCTATAATCCTGGAAACTTGTTAATTCTTCCAATACCACAGTATTAACTGAACTGTCTCGATTGTTTATGTAACATACATGGTACCTTCAGTATTCAAATTGCATTGGTCAGCGAACTCGAGGAGATGGAAATAATGAGTGAAGAAATAAAATGTTTCCTTCAAGGATTCAACATTGACATATTTTAGCGTTTCCTCCAACGAACATTCACCTGGTAGTTATTCAGTGTATTAATTTTTTGTTGTCCTGTTCAAATGATTATTCAACCAAAGTGCCCAACATGCTCTGAACCTAGTTGTGAGGTGTTTCTTATAGTGGGCAGACGGGTCGCAAATTCAGAACAAGAATAACGGAACATGTTTGTGTCATGCATATCAATTTTCAAAGAGATTTTATCAATACCAATTTTGTGTTCCTCAATCATATAGTTAATGAAAAACATTCCTTTGAACCATAGATTCTTATATTTTGGCCAAAAAAGCAAAAAACTCAATCTACTAGAAAATTTTGGAATTCATAAGTCCTTGAAGAATCCTGTAATGACATGTATCAATGTACAGACCCACTAATTTGACTTTCAACTCTCTTACATTTACCTAAACATGAAAATCCCTTCTTTCCTCTGAATGAAACTGATTCAATACTTGAAGTTCCATGAACGATTAGTTTGTTATTGCTCCCATCTCGAATATTAAATTCTTTCATTTCCTATTCCTATTTGATGTTCTATGTCACCCTTGTCACTCCATGTCAAAGACATGCCATTCATTTGATGTTCGACATCTCGTTATCCTATCTTTTCTTGTCTGTCGTAAACCCTTGGTATAATCAACAAGAACTATAAGATGGTATCGTTCAATTTTCAATTTGATTCTAATTGGATATTGCACCATGACGTTTTACAAACCAGTCTCCTAACATAGGTGATCCGCCATAATTGCAGTCCCTCTATTCGATTTTTTCAACTGTGTATTTGTGAAAAATTTTTGAATTATTGTTGTAATATGTGAACATAATTTATTCCTCCAGAACAGGTGAGCTTTTTTGAACTGTAATTGTTGAAGTGTTTGTCTGGCATTCCTCTTTATTTTTCTCTCACTTTAGTGCTCCTATGTAACTAAAAGCTGATGATGAAGCTTTGAAGCTTCGAAACATGTCCCGTAATTCGATTACAATAAAGTATAGTTTTGGTGCAGTAGACTGTAAGAGTTTCGTCCTGTCTTATTGCCTTTACTCCACTGTAAGATGGATCGCCTCAGATGGGTGCTCATTCTCGTTGAGATGCCTTTCCTTCCATTTCACCGACACATACCATCCTCCGCTCCGTTAACATGGCGCTCTCTCTTCCAGATCGTCCACCATTGCTCCACTTCCTCGGTGCATCACCACGCCGGCTTCATTCACTAGAATGATTATACAAAAGTATCATTATTATAAAATGTACATCATTAACAGAATATGTATGTTATCATTGTATAATATACGTTGTTGTCTTATAGGTTGATCATTATTATTCACCCTGTAGAACCTGCTGTGTGAGCGAAAAATCTGTAGTGTTCTTAACAATTTTGTGAAAATCTCCCGAGGTGTATAGTTTCACATAGCATCTTCCACTATTTCAGATAGTTCCTGATGATATCTCTAAAATGGGGTTTCACAAGAAAATGGAATTTTGTGGATATCTTATCGGTTGTCAAGTTTTTTGCATTATTTTCATCATTATGATTCTTCTTCCAGAACGTCCACCACTCCACCTCCTCTTCGTGCTGCCACCACCATGTCGCCGGCTGCTGCGGCCCCACTGTCCACGACATCCAAAATGGAGCGTGCGGCCACTTGCACCACGGTCACGGCCACGGCCAATACGCTCATGGCCACGGCCACGGCACGTGCGCACCCGCTGACGCCGTCTCCCTCTCCTTGGCATACAAGATGGCGCAGCAGGCCAACTACAACTCCATGGCGAACGAGGACAAGCTGAACTTCGGATTCAGGAAGATACCGCAGGAGATTCCGGTCAAGAGGGTGAGTGACATATAACTATGATAGACAGGTTGCCCCATGAATTTCCAGCCGATCAGTAACATCCATTCACGCAGCCATTTGCATTTGTTCATGTTGCCGCGCCATGCCATGAAATAGTTGCCAGAGTATAGAGGTTGGATCGTGCCAATATCATTCAGCTTATCAAACCTCTAGAAAGCTTAGGAATCATTAATGATAGACAATATGGCTTTCTCCATCAGAGATGAACTGAAGATTTATTTGTCTACGTCACCCATACATGACAAGATCCATTAGGAAAATATGGAGAACTTCTAGCTGTTACGTTAGATGTAACGAAAAACATTCGACCGTGTCTCGTACCAAGTATTTTTCCACTTCAGGTATGCCCTCTTTCATCGAGGTTTCATATTCAGACAGATCGCTGATACCATAGCCATCAGTTCCGGCGTTCCATAAGGATCCATTTCGACACCAACATTGTTCCTACTTCTCTATCCACGACTTCGCATATGACAGTATTCTCCATGCTTAATTCTCTTCTAGAATTTCCATTTTATCCCACAGCCTGTGGAACCAACAACCTTGTTGAATTCCCGCGTTCGGAAATCCTTCTTGGTATATCTAATTGTTCTCCCTAGCACAGCAATTTTTCGACTATATCCTCTGAAATTCAAGGCTATAAGGTAGCTCCCCCACCTCCTCTATCATGTATGCTCCTAGGTTTCTTGCCCTTGATGGGGTCTATAGAGTAATACATTTGGTGAGTATGTTGATAGCGGTTTATCCCTCCACTCCACAGGATCTGCATTCAACTTATCCTCTTTAGTCAACCTTCCTAGGGAAGTTTATTTTCGTGTTTGTAATTAAAATGTACCCAGTAGCCTTTCTGAAATCATAAATATTTTCCCAGATGACTGATCTCTGTTAACCTCATCTTTTTATACATTCTACTGATACAGTACTGCTGCTGATCCCGCAGAAGTGTTCTGGCCGAACAAAGGCTGTTTGAGCTTCCTATCGCATAGGTCCACTTCCTCATTTCCTTCTACAGCGGAATATCCTGAAATAAGGGTCATTGTATTTCTGTTAGCTGTTCGCGACATTCCCAAACTATTGTTTTGAAAAGGTATTTTGATGGTCAAGTCCAATCAATTTCTGGAATGTAGCAAGAAGCGTTGAAGATAGAATGAATGCCATGTGCGTAGTAGGAATTATGTATGTCTAGAAACAGTGGAGGAATAGTCTTCTATCACAGTAGAGAGCTTCTCTACTGTGCTTCTACTTATATATTTCATTGTAATCATACATCAATCGCAATCTTCATAAGTGCTAGTAGTCGACTGAATAATTCATTCTTTTGCAGTAACAGTTGTTCTGCAGCTTCATTGGTTCATAAGTTACGAATAAAGTATCGCAAATAGAAAAAGAATTATTGAAAATGATGAACAATTGTCGCTGTCGTCTAGGTTAGCCAGAGTTCTATGATAACTCTTTTTGGAGACTGCATGGAAGCTTCAACTGAAAGTAAGAGGTTCGACCTACTTTTCCTTCACTGAAAACTTTCTTCGTTCGATGGATACACACCAATTGGCATATTTCGTCGAAATGAGTCCTCTATTTGTATCAGTCATTGTCAACCATCATCGATAGTATTGTATTAGTTGCTATCTCTCTTCTTGTTCATAACAGCACTTCAAGATACAGCTGTTTCAGGAATTCGATGATTTTTTGGGAATCTGTTCGTGGTATTCATTTCACAGTCAACTGGTATGATCCCTGTATATCCCTTCTGTCGAGGTTGAACTAGATCTTTCTATGGCGCGAATTTCTGCTTGAATAACGCTGGGGAATCGGCCCATCGGTTGGTAATATTTAGTGCGATCACTATCACCTTCCTTATACCTTTATAACTGCCATCAAAATTCCAGATCATGAGAGCAAATCCTCTATTTTCCAGATAATCCACAACAACGTCCCAGAAGAGAAGATCTTCAGCTTGAACGGCCAAATCGTCGAACTGAAACCAGTGAAAGCCGCATGCTGCAAATCTTTAGCAGAAGAAGCTGCCGAAGACCTTCTTGCTCTTCAAGACGAAGAAGAAGAAAATGCACGAAATGGTGAAGCCACTGGTGTGAGGAGAGTCAGCTTGGGAGAGCTGGGATATGCACCTGCCAAACGTGAGTGCTTGATGTTTTGTTCAAATACACATGGTGCCCTTGAGTACTAGGTGTGCTTTTCAAGAATGTTGCACACAACATATTTACGATAAAATTGAATTCACATTAATTTCAAATCCATTCGAAAGAATATTATTTCATAATACAATTAGTGATATTACTTATTTTGAAAATACATTGTTCTACAATAACATGAGTAGTTTCAACTCACGTTAGTTTCATGAAACTGTGGTATTTTTTTGCCTCAATTTCGATTTAATAATCGCAACTACATCAATTTACTGGGTTCATTGATGGACATACTTCATTGCCAGTAATATCTGTGATATAGGTATGAAACAGTACCGTTTTGAGGAATGATTATTGATGCACGTATATAAACCCAAATTACACAAAAGTATCCACAAATGTAACTCGTAATCAATAGATAATTAAAATAATTTTTGGACCAGCGCCAAAAAGTTCAACTTTTTGCACATCAAAGAGTGTAAAAAGAAGTAACTTTGAGTGCAACAAAAGAAATTCTTTGACTATCCTAGAAATAGTGTTTATTCAATATGTTTTAAACAGATATTTGTTCTTCGAGTAGGTAGGTATTTTTTGCATCCCACTCAGTTTTACTATCAATAAAAACCTGCTCTGACTTCAAATTCAATTTAATTGATGACCATCCTGTGATTCTGAGGATTCGTCAGTGATAAATGAAAATTATTCAATGTGATCATAGGTAAACAACTGAAATTTCCACTTTCAATAACACACTTAATCTCAAAAATAAAACAAGTAATTTATGTTGGCGAGTTATTTCAATTTATTGGGAGATACAAGAAATTACTTCCTGTATATAAAATCATGACATATCTCAAATAATTCTTCACCAACGAACCTCATTTGAGAAATAACAGAAAAATGATTCTTACTGAAAATGAGTGGAAACTAAGGAGTTCATGTAGGTACCTACAATTTTTTCGCTGAAGACTTCATCCAAATGTTAATAAAAATAATTGGTGAAATTTTAATATGTTGTAGATTTAAAAAAACATAAAAAAATGGACAATGCAAAACACTAATCCCTCCGATCAAGCAAGTTTTATTGCTGATAGAAAATAAACAGTGATTGTCCAGAGGCAATGATTTGATATGTAAAATGCTTTGGAGGTTCATTGGTAGAAATACCATACATATTCTCTATTTATTTCGTCTAAAATAGAACTAGTAAATAACTGGATTTCTCATATTCAATTGGTTTCACGTTTTCAAGTGAATTCTACATAATGGCTACAATTTTATTATTGTCTATTTTTGTCAGTTGTGAGAACTGTTAATACTGTTATACAACAATATTGGTGAAACATCTATCCATCAAATGAAATTATTGTTCTATTATCATAATTGGCAGATTATTCAATTTCTCATGAGTTCTACATTGCTAGTTATAGATTACCTTCATGCATTATTTCGGTTCGCGATACTGTTAAGTCCCTCGACTTCTTGACTAACTCACTCTGTATCACGAAAAACTTTCAACGACTGACCAATGACATTCTTCCTTGCAGTCACCACCCCCACCTTCGTTGACGTACCCTCAACCGTCGTAGAAACTACTGTTGACACTTCATGCTCCAGCCACAAGGGCTGCGGCTGCTGCAGCTGCCCCAACTACAAGGTCATCCCCGGAAACGTCAACTTCAAGGTGCTCCCCAAGCCCCAGCAGCTGGTGTTCACCCCCCCTCCGACACCCGACAGCTGCGAGTCTGCCGAAGCTTGCATTTCTGACGAGGAGCCCAGCTGCCAATGCTCATGCGTGCCAGTGTGTGTCAAGAAACACCACAGCAGCTGCTGTCACAAGAAAACCCTCTCTATCTCGAAGTATTTGTGATGAGTTCGGTGACGTTTGCGAGATATTGTTTCGTGCGGCTTCTTTTCATTGTTTGTTTTCTTTGTTTTTGTTTTGTTCTGGTTTCGTTTTTGTTCTTGTGTTTGTAGTTTTCTTCCCGTTTGTTTCATTTTTTTCTAAATAGTTCATTATTGTTTTATTATTTCAAAAACTCATATATTGTTTTTTTTTTTCAATAGTTTAGCTATGTAACCTTGTTATTAACTTTAACTTTTTTTTAGATCAATGAACTCTTTCATTGTTTTCGAAATTCTTATCATACCTATACAAAATTATTTGAATCAAATATTGGTACCTAATTATTATAACTCAATTTTTCTTTGTTGTACTGAAAAACGTTCATTTCCTTCTGTAACTGACATTTTTACAAGCCAAATTTCTCTTTTCTCAATTTACTAGTCTGTGATATTTTCGATAATATTTTTATTAGTTTGTCATATTATTTGAATGATCTTGATCTGTTCATCCTCATGACTGAATTGTATATTTTTAAATTAGATTTATTTTATTGATAATGTATTTTTGCGCAAAATTACAAGATTTCCCGACTGTGATTTAATTTTAAGTTTGTTTTTGTATTTCAATTATTTTTTACTTTTATTTTATGTTATTGTTTGCCCAAGGAGCAATAAAATCTGTATCTCAACGATTTGTTTTACTTTTGAATTTTCAAAATGATACTTCCACTACTACTACTTATCCGAATTACGAAATATAAGATGTAGGTGAAAGAATTGAAAAATGGTGATTTGGAAACTTTGAGAACATAATATAGGAACCAGTTTAACGAATATACCTGAAATATCAGATACATTTCCTGAAATGGCAAAAAACAATCATGTTCGGAATTGAATGGGAAAAGTGAAGAAATTATTCGATGATGAAATGATAAAAAGGGAGAATAATATCTCCATATAGTTGGAGAAGAAACAGAAAGTCAGTCGGAAAAGTCACTACATATTAACGTAATATCGATTTCTTCATATTCGAACAGTTACACGGAGAAAAGTTTTGTTGCACCAACAAAATAATTTTGGTTTTTTTTTTTTGTTGAATCAACCACAATTTTGCGAAATCAACAAAAAAAAATGTTCTTTCCAAATAAGCGGCCTATTCAAAGAGACAAAATAATTTGATTGAGATATTTGCTTACTTTTACATTTACATTTATAGTTGACATAAAAAGTATTTTGTTGATTCAACTATTATCTCATTATTCAATCAATCATATGAATCTTATTGTCTATTCGACAAAATTGAATTGATTATGACAACATTATATTTTGTTGATTCAACACATCACTATCAAGAAATATGTTGTTATTTCAAACAAATTATTTTGTTGACCAGAACCCACAGATACATTATATCAAATGAATATATTTTTGAATAATTATCTAGTTGCATTTTGGCCACCAGGTGGCGTTTCTTCCAACCTTTCTACGCTCGCCTCAATTGGGGTATACATTCACCTACCTAGTACAGTCGTTTATATAATTATATTAAGCTGTCCTAGAATGTCTCATGACGCTTATACAACCTGATAGTCTTGAATCAACTGAGGAAATTGATCTCTAATTTCTCTTAGTTTTGAAATTCCAATTCCTGCTGTTCATTTGAATCATTAATGAGTTACATCAAATGAATTTTGAATTGAAAACTGACAGAAAACATTTGTTGCGTTGACAAAATATTTTGTCGTGGATATATGACACTCAGATTCTGTTGAATTTACAAATCAATTTTTTTTCCTGTGTAGATTCATAAAATAATTCCAATTTGGGTACATTATTATTTTCGTTTTTTGACGCATGGAACATATCTCTCGGTAAGTTCATTATTTTATGGAATTGTGAAAACGATATTCGTCACAAATAATACTGAAAAATCTCAAAAATCAATCAGATCAATATCGAATGAAGTGAGTTCGTAGACGTTTGCGAGATATTGCTTAGTGCGTATTCGTTTCATTGTTTTTGTTTTGTATTGGTTTCGTATTCCATTCATTTTCGTATTTCACAGAAAATTCTAGACATATTCCAAGTACAATGTCCTATACTCATCTTCAACTATTTCGGAAATATTTTTCATGAAATAAGCGAGTCATCTGTAGACTTATTATTTTGTATATTTCTGGTGAATGTATCATTTTTTTGATATGCAGTTGACGAAGTTCGAATGACTATACCTAAAATTATGACCACTGGCATGCAATTAGACAGCAATTTGCAATAAATTTGAAAATACTCAATATTTCTGAAACAGTTGAGGATGGGTATAGGGCATTCTATGTACATGAAACACGTCTAGGATTTTATGAAAAATCTAAAAATTGAATGAAAAACAGGATGTTGAATTATAAATAAGAATACTACTATTGGCCGCTGCTGTAACATAACATCATCACGCCCTGTGTGTAGAAAGTTGTTTTTGTAGCGCATGCGCTTCTGAAAATATCAATAGCCGTGTCCGAGTGTTTTTTCGATCACACTCCCGTGTACACACACACACACACACACACACACACACACACACACACACACACACACACACACACACTGTATAAACAAGGATTGAAAATTTATTAAATAATTTCAATTTGGAGAAATAACCATTTTCGTTTCATGATGGGTGATGAAACTCCTCTCGGTAAGTGAATTCATTTTTCTTCGGAATTCAGTAGCTCCCATGCATTCATGGAATAATTGATGGATGTTGTATAATAATAATAATAATAATAATAATAATAATGTGTCTTTATTCTTCAATACAACCAATACAGAGTGAATACAATCACTAACCCTGAATATAACAATATATAACAATATATATATATATATATATATATATATATAATGAATTTACTGTAATGATTCAAGATCCGCAGGAATGACACTTGAATCTGGATGGTATTTATCAATAACGACTTGTCATATGACTGTCATGTTCATGACTACTATGTTTCAATTCAACTATGATGATCGAAATATACAGTATGATGCAAATGTATGGAATAAATTCATTATTTCAGAAATGGGCGACATTTGAAGAAATTGCAAAAACACGTGAGTTTTAATTTTTGAAGCCTCATCTCATGACATTCATATGAGAGATGTTACGTCACTGGTGTAGAAGTAATGACGTAATGGACGATTTGTTCAAATACAAGCAGGGGTCATGTGACACCTCGTTTGAAAGGTCTACTGATCGTCTATCCAACAGTCAAAATTTTGCATAAGAATATTGCGATTAAAATGGATTATCATTTGGTTAACTGAATCTTGCAGAGGTCTGCTACTGAGAATTGAACATCGAAGGGTCGTCTAGTTGAAAAAATACAAAATAAAAAAAGTTCTGAACTCTAGTTTTTGGATTTTTTTCGGAAGTCGTCTTGTTTTGAAATGAATTTATTCCATACATTTGCATCATACTGTATATTAATTCCCACCACGGGGCCTCATACCCCTCGGCTGCAATGAACTCAATCTCGGCTGAAGGCTTGGGATATAATTTTGATCCCTGGACAATAATAATATTCTTTACTACCTTGGTTTATAAACTACTATTACGACTACTCATCGAAGATAACAATATAGAATATTACAACAGATTTTCCGGAAATATTGGATCTCTTCAAGAACTATAATTTGAGGAAAAAGTCATGTTTGAAATTGAGAAAAAATAGTAGAGAAAGGAAAATGACTTTTTCGAATTAAAATAGAAACAGGAAGGCATCAGGACAATTCACTACATCTTTAAGTAATTTAGACGTCGATAGTACGCGAGTAGAGAGTTGAAGTGTTGCCATGAACGTTAATGTAAACGTAGAAATTGACAACTAACGCATGAGCATTTTTCAATTGTTCACGTTTGCGTTGGTAGTGGAATATCAACGTTCGTTAACCAAACTATCAGATTTGCACAATCCTTGATTTCGCCCAAGAGACTAGATACTGGGAGAATTATAACCATAGGGTTAGCCACATTAGGCCGCAGTGGAGAGCCGGACATGGGCCCACTCACGTTTAAACCTAACCTAACATAACCAAACTATAGTTGAAATATGCCAATGAGTCGAAATTATCAATTTCGGGATTCCCAAGGAGTTTTGCATCGAGGAGTCTACCCAAACTACCAAAAATGACCAGTACAAACCGAAAACAAAATGTATCATTACGTTTTACGATGACAATACGTAAACGTTATTTTTCGCACGTTAACGTCTACGTGGAGGTCTACGTACAGTGATTACTTCAACTCTCTAGTATTACCTTCATCCACGTTATTATGTGGTTCCCAGCTACGACGGCAAAAAGTTAGATACATATAGGATATTGCATCATGACAATAAAGGTAATATTCATGGGAATAGACAAATATCGAAAATATCAGAATTTCGATTTTTACTCAATTACTGAAAACCCAGGCAACCAGATGACGAATGATCACGTCACTGTGACTTCCCTTATTGGCGATTTTTCGTCAGAGATGTCACACACCAATTTATGACGTCACTATGACGTACTTCTATCTAAACACTGTATATATCGGAAACCAACAAGCTATGTATATATATATACAAATGATTGTTGAGGTGAACCTATATTGAAACCGTTACCCTTATGACGTCTAGAAATCACGTCGGTGTGACGTACCAATTTGGTGAGCTTCGAAATTCAGAAGTTTTTTTCAATAATTTGCTATTTAGATTTTTGTTGGGTGACAAAGAATGCATCAATATACATTATTCAACAAAGTGAAGCCAAATTCGCCAACATCCTTTCCATTGCTATCAAACTATTCTTTGTTTGCTTACAACTCGCCGACACAAACTACATAATTTTTCATACGAATACGAGTAACTGATTGCATTCTGATGGAGATGCGTACTGAAGGATAGCGCTGCTGAATAGGCGATTGAATGAACATGACACAGGAGGGACCCACCAAGCAGACTCAAGACTCAACAATGCATAATCAATATTATATAATGTCATCAGAGGCCAGTGGTGTTTATCACACCATGTTAAAGGAATCTTTTTTACGTATCATCGCCAAAATCAATCGTTCTTTTGACGTCATTATGACGTCAGTCGGACGTCACAGTTTGGTGAGTGAATGAGTCAATACGACGTGAGTAATATGACGTCATTGGGCTGTGACTTATTCACGTCATTATCACGTCATGCGACGTCAACTACTGACGTCACCTTGGTCATTCAAGTGACGTAAAAAAAAGTCACTGGAACGTCATCTGGTTGCCTGGGAACTTACAAACAACTAGAATCGGCCAATTATTTGGCACACTGTGGATCTTGATCATCAACATGAGGATTGATATGTTTTTCTCGGATACAATGTCCGGTTCGCCATTATATAAGGTGATGACAATTTGAAAGTTCAGAATTGATATAACTCACACCCTGTAGCTTGAAAACTGGTCATATGATCGATCTGTAAATTGGAATGTGTAATAAGGACGCTAATATCTGAAACATATCATATTTTCAGAAAAATTAGACGAAAGCCATTTTCAGTACTAAATGTGCGGGGTCCTTTATTAATTAGGGCAGGCGGAAAGAATAATTATTTGTTTCTTCATGACCCGCTTGTATAATGAGCGTCCATGGCAGCGAAATTAATT